TCCACAATTAATACATTTTGCTGGCATATTCCTATCTTTGGTGTATTCCCTCGTTAAGTGCTCTTCTGCATACTTGAGACATTTAGGTGCCATATGGCAGTTTGCTGTAGCATGCCCTCACTCCTGGCATCTGTGGCACTGTGGTATTTTTTTCTTGTTGTAGTTCTCTCCCATCTGACACATGTGTAATTGAGAAATTTGATTTTTTGGTTTAGTTTCTTCTCTTTGATGGATCTGGTTGTTGTGACCATGAATAATGGGTTGAATGTCCCTCTCATTTGTATACATTTGGCACCTAGCAGCCCATTCTCTATCATTTCATTCTGAATTTCTGTTTGTTTAGTATCGCTTGTCAGTCCTCTGATTACAAAAACTCTTCTTTTTTCTTGTTTCATTGTGTATGTATAGTATTGTGAGTTGCCATCTATGTTTGCAAGTAATTCTGTATAGTCTTCGATGCAGCTTGTATAAATACTTATCCTGTTACTACTATATTTCACGTAGAACTTTTCTTTTGTAGATTTCTTTATTTTTCGGTTAGTCCTTTGTGTGACACAGCATTACCATATATTACGATTGGTGGTGTTGTTTTTTTAGCCGTTACATTGTCACCTGTATTTTGTTTTTTCCCTTCCGAGATAACCCCATCTTCATTATCACTAAGTATATCGAATCTATTCCTAAATGGAATAGCTTCTTTTACCTCTTTTCTTTTTGTTTTCGGCCCTTCCATAGGAGTTGTTTTCCTTCTTGTTGTTTATGTATTTGAACAGATTAATGTGATTAATCCGATTATGTAACATACTATCACTATTATATTTATTTACTCTTAATACTACACTTATATTATACATATATCTATTAGGAACTCAGCCTTTTGAATACAAAAGAAATAACACATTGCCTTATACAATACTTATTCAAAACTAAATTATAGGATTAATGCTTTCACACATATACCTCACACCGGGAGCATACAAAGCGGAAAAACGTGCCATCTCTACAACTATTTCATAAGAGAGGGAAAGTGTTGAATTATGGTTTTTATTTTATTAGGAGGATAATGTGGTTTAAGTAACTTAACACGTGGTTTCCTAACCTATATAGATATACTAATTTATTTAAGCAAACGAACACTCTTTGGGAAACTTATTTAACTAGAGACGAACAAATAAACTTGTTGAGAATATTATAAATCGAATTTAAGCTCCCAATGAATATCTTATAAGACCGTTTTTATTTCTTATTTTATTATACGTTTTTGGTGAGCTCACCTACCCGCTTTCACAGTCGCCGCAAGAAGAAGGGAGGAATCGCCAACTGCAGCGCACCTTCCAGGACACATAGACTACTACTGAGTCGACCAGAATTACCAAAACTTAAGATATAATTTTAACAGAAAGCATTGCTCTTTTAAATCCCTTAAAACAACACTTTTGTTTTTAATTAATTAACGGAAAGTTTTGCCTTTTATTACCCCCCCCCCATGGCATGCCCGACACGTGGACGCTCGTCATCTTTTTCATTGTTCCCCCCCCTCCAGGTTCTTCTGGTTGATGACTTCTTTCTATTAGATTTTCTTTGTTTGCTTGAATTATACTGCACGCAATGCTTTCTTTTATTTCACCTTTTACACATTTTCGGTCTTCTTTATACCCTGTCCTATTGGTTATGATTGTGGATATGTTCTACCTACGACAGACGGATGGTAAATGGAGGACGAGAACTTGTGCTTTCAGAATGATATGATCGTTGGTTGTTAAAATGAGCGATTATTTTTGTGGCAATGTATATATTAATTATAACCAGCAGGTAACAGGAAGATTTGTAAAATAACAATTTCATACATTCTGTCAAATGAATACCGGAAATTCTTCATTTAAAATGCTCGCATAGTAGGAGGTATAAAAACAATTATTTGTTGTAAATTGGTAACAATACATCTAATTGTCATTTGGCCTTTGGAGCAATCTGGCAACCAGTTTGTTTATAGCTGTTGGTTTTGTTAGTCTGCCTCAAGTACGCTCTGCGATTTTTAAAATAGATAAAAATATCGAACAAAAAGTTTGTCTTAAATTTTGTGTTGCTGTTGGCATCAGGTCATAAAGAACAAAGCTTTTAACTTATTTTTGGTGATTCTTTATCACACTTTATTCTTATTATATAATAAACAAACTTAATATTAAATGAATACGTAAACGGAAAGAAATATCAAACATTTTAAAGAAAAAAATTAAACAACGCAAATTCTCTTCTAGTCCATATCAGCGGAAACGCAACCATACTTCCTTTTTGGCGCCAATACATGAAATTTAGATTGCCTTATTCCAACAGTTGCTAACACGGTCTTTTGTACTGAATCGTTGAAAATGTTGAAGAAGGCCTATGGTGAGTCAGTTTTGTCGAAAGCACAAGCATACGAGTGATACAAAGCATTCAAAGAAGGCTGAGAAGTAGTTGAAGGCTGGCCTCGTTTCGGTCGATCTCCAACGTCTTCGACTAGCGAAAACATCGACAAAGTGAATGAAATGGTGATGGAAAATCGTCATTCTAGCTTAAAAGAGATGGCTCAGGATCTGGACATGTCTCACGAATCCGTTCGCACCATTTTAGTTGATGTTTTGGGCATGAGATACGTCGCGGCACGGATTGTTCCGAAGGAGCTGAATTTTCTTCAAAAAGAGCACCGCAAACAGACTGCTGAAGACATGTTTGAACGAACCAATTTGGACTCTACATTTATGAAACGCATCATAACGGGTGACGAAACGTGGGCCCATGAGTTTAACATGCAAACCAGCCAGCAAGCTTCGAAATGGCGCTTCGATAACGAGCCGAAACCCAAAAAATCATGTCAATGTCGCACGAAAATCAAAGCCATATTGACTGTTTTCTTTTATTATCGTGGTGTTGTCCACTCGGAATTCCTTCCGCAGGGGTCAACAGTCAGCAAATAATATTTTCTAGGCCAGGCTCGGATTAAGATTTTTTGTGGCCCAGGACTATCATATTTTCGGAGGCTCCCTTGGTTGAAAAAAAGGGGGAGGGTGGTGTTGTAATACAGCCTAACAAAATACATAAATCTTCAAAAATTGAAATTTATTTTAAAGAAAATGAAATAACATTTACTTATAACGAAATGGAAGTCACAGAACGCCCCCCCCCCCCCTGGAACGTGAGGCCCAGGGCTACACCTTCCCTAGACCCCTCCTTGATCCAGCGCTGATCTAGGCGTTACGACACGTTCGAGAAAGAATGTTCGTCGGAGGCCAGATTTGTGGAAGAACAATTCTTGGATTTTTCACCACAATAATGCGCCATTCCACACATGGACCCTTGTACGCGAATTTTTGACCAAAAGCTCAACGAATAGCATCGACTTAGCACCGTATACGCCAGATATAGCCCCGTGAGACTTTTTTCTGCTCCCCAAATTCAAATTACTAGTTTGTGGAAAATGTTTTCAGTCCATTGAAGCCATAAAACATAATTCGCAGAAGAGCTGAGGACCATACCGGAAAGTGCCTATAAAAAGTGTTTCCACGACTGGATTATTAGCATAAGTGTATCGCATCTAATCTTATAAACATTCATTGGAGTTACATTGTCATAAATTCATTAATCGATTCTTTAAAAGATAAGTAGTTCCAACTGTCGCAAAATTAATTTCTTGGTACATTAAGTTTGAAATTATTAATTGTTCCGTAATTCCTTGTTTATATGACGGAAGTTTAGGTGTTATATTGGATTGCGTTCAAATTCGTAAAAGGTATTTACCCTAATTTATAACTACACTTTTATTATTTGAATGCGAAACGCGCCCGGCTTTTCCGGTTTCCTGTTTTTCCTACTCCAAGCCTGTGCATTCATAATAAAGCGCGAATGATATAACGTTGGAATATGCAAAAGCTTCTTTTCGCAATGTAAGGCGACTCATATCTAATATAACAATGTTTTCTCTTCTTTCTTGGAACAAGAGAAATTTTAAACTCCTAGTTCGGACTACATTAATGTGCAGTCCTTGCACTTGCAGAAAATAAAGCGAAACTTTGTTAAATTTAATCCTACTTATTTGTTTAAATTTTCTTTCATGGAAAGTTGACGTAGATAATTCGGTTCACATGATTTAGTTAACTCCATTATGAAATAGAACGTGTAATAAGAAAAATTAATGTAACATGGACACACAAACACACATAAGAAAATTTTTTCTTCAAAATAAGCGAATTATATATATGTACAATCGCGACTCGTTAATGCTATTCGAATGATTCAACCATTCATATTCATTTGAGCAGGAAGGATAACTGAGGATAACGTATTGTAAATATTCTCATAGTCAATATTTCCTCACTACGTAATTTATTTAGTACACCTTATTATCATTTATTAACACTGTGCTTAACAGTTTAATTATTTTAAATTACTGAAAAGTTTACTGAAAAATATATTCCTTACTTATCGGTACCAGAAGTAAAATAACACATAAGACTCATAATTTAAAAACATTAAATAACAAAGTAAGTATTTGCAGACTAATATTAATGAATTATCAAAAAAATTATTTGTTATTTCTTATTTAAAAAAAACCACACAAACACTGGCTAATATTTCGAAATTATCATCTGCAGGACTTTATTAGTCACGCTTTGTTTCATAACTTTGCAAGGTGTTTTTGTTGCAGGTGCTATAATATTAGCTTCATAGTACCATTCTATGTTTAATTTTACACGTAACATAAACATCGTTAATCTTACATAAGCGAAAATGTTCTGTGAAACTATACTATGTTGGCGTAGAGTAACTAATTATAACTTACAAGATATACTACCATTAAGACACCGTACATGGCTGAACTGAGATTACATGAAATTATCTATTTAGTTTTGTTCTACGCCGATACCTAATTTAAATACTACATATGTGTGTCGATATAATAAGTTGTCCTTCTTACAAAGATTATCTATACCTAATGAATACTTCAAAAATTAAAATAAGTCTCAGTCGAACTTCTTGCGAGATCTTAGCAACCTTAATCGCCTCGAATGAAATAGTAACTTAACTAACTTGTATATGATCCAAATGACAATTAGAATCACAGCTGTTATTACGCAAACAATGTCGAGTAGTAGATACTGGTACCATGTCAGATTTGCGGCTTCGATCTTCAAGGAATCCGGTCCGTGTCGAATTAAATACTCTATCCAATACACACCTTCCTCGACAGGTGGAATTGGTCGATCTCTGAACTGCAGAGAAGCTCTCTGCGCCACTTCCCCGTAGCTATGACCCATGCAAAACAAACGAAGGTTTTTCAAAAAAAGTTTACACAAAAATTTGTTTTACATTGTAATCAGTAATATTTTTAGCAGAATTTTAATTATTACGGTAACACGAATACTTTTATGTACATTAGGTCAGCAACTAGCAATATTCCACTACACTAACAACCAATTAATAACGAGAGAATTGGTTATTTTTTTACATGGACAGCTTAAGTGATACTGAGTGGAACACCATGATACTTCGCATAACTTTTAAGAAGTTTTCGAAACAGAAAATATTATTAGATATGTGATTTAAGGGTGTTCGGAGAAGTCACATTTTTACAGATTAATGTATAAAAACTAACATTAAACAGAACTATGACTTTCGTTTTAAATGCTTTCATTTCAATAGAAATTTAACAAAAACTGTATTTCATCGTACGAATGTTTTTATTTTACTGTGCTTCCACATCTGTGTGTATCACAAATTCATAAACATCCGTTGTCAGTCATTATAAATTTATATAAAAAATCTGAATATTATACCGACTCTTTACAGATGGACATCTGAATATTTTCTGACTGGTAACTTTACGGTTCGGGACAGTGCGTCAGGATATTGCCAATATTAAACTTTTATCGTTTTGCAGGGTAGTATAACTTTTATATCAAATAATAATTATTGTTTGACAAATTACAATATATTAGTATTTAATAATTTTGTAAAAGACTTAAATAGTAAGTATGAATAATTGACTACATAACCACATTGCATTTTCACTGTCGATATTGCAGTTCCAGTCAGTTATTCGACTCTTTTTTCAAGATAAAATCGTTTTGTAGTATTACAGAATTACAGTATTTGCAGTGTCTTGTTCTTTTAACCGTATTTGTAAGCACTTGTGATTATACATAATAACATTATACATTTATTGCAACACTTTTAACGTTTAGTATAAAATGTCTAAGAAAAACAGAAAGCGTGTGTTTGATTATTATTTATCTGAAAGCGGCATTGAGGAAAGTAGTAACGATGTATTTTTCTTAGAACAATTCATTTTGATGTAGATAGTTGCAGTGATAAGTGCTTCTAATAATGGCAGCGATATTTTCTACAAGACACGGAAAATTTCGTTACTTTCTATATTTTTGTCTAAGGTAAAAGAAGTTTAACCTCAAATAAAAAGCAATATATACAACTTCGTCTTTTCCACTCAAATTCGCGACCAGGTAGACTTGCATGCGCTCTACATGTTTCGTCCATAAAGGGTTAAATTTCTGGAAGCGCGTTTGAAATAATACTCATAGTTCCCGAATGACTTTCAGTCCATCAGATAAGATAGGTGAACATCATAAGCATCAAGTTAAAGGAATCTATTCACAACTTGGTTCAAAGCAATAAGATTCAGCTAAACAAGCAAGTACCCCTAGTTTAACAGGTTCTGTATAGGCAGGGTACGTACAACACGCATCGTAATTTCATTGCATATCCTCCCAAGAGTTTGAATATACAACGGAACAATGAAGTTTTTGATGAACTCAACCGGTTATACAATTACTTGATAAAATTCTCATTTTATAACGGTGATTTTTGTAGTAGTAGTAACAAAGTTAATAATAACATAATTTTCGGGTAAATCAAATTGTACACATAAAAATTCGTTTGTATAGTAAATGACTATAAAAAATGTACATAAAAATGTATATAAAAAATACCCTTTTGGAGCTTCTATAAAATTAACCGAATTTAATTTGTTTCACAGGCAAATTTTCAAAACAGTTATTAAGAAACTATAATACAGTTAGCAGCCATCTGCAGGTTTTATAGTTAATCAAGGGAAGATGATCAACATCTGTTGGATTGATGACAAAATAATATTACCAGATTACAATTATATACAATTATAGATACCGTATATAATTTATAGATAGTACCAGTAAGAACTGTACCAGATATGCAATTTATAATTCTTTTTAATGAATGAATTCTGTTAACAGTAATGTGTGTGTTCATAAACCACTTAACCTTCATCTGCATTAGTTTCTTCCCATCAGACAATAGTTCAAACTACGTTGCTTTAATGGTTAGGAATATAATAAAATGTCTATTTTTGACCTATCATGTTGATTGACTTTAAAAAACCTATAAGTAGATATAATCACTGTCCATAGGTGGTAATAGTGATTTATAAAGCCTACTGGCGACAATTTTGTATTTAATGTAAAATATCATTGTCGATTGATACTAACGTTTTAAATTCAATCTTCTACAAAACCAAACATAATACGAAAAAGTTTTATTTTACATTTTTGAGTTACAGTGGGTAAAAAAAAGTATTCGTACACCCTTTAAAACAGAACAACTCTTTCAAAATTGGACCAAGTGACTTGAGTTATTTTGTGAACTTAGCAGGATTAGTGCATTAAATTATTGTGTTAACAAAATGTTGAAAATGTTGCAATTGGTCAGAATCGCGAAGAAAATAGTAAAGGTCGCTTTTTGCGACTTTTTTATCTGAGATTGTAATGAAAATTTAATCGAAAATTGTATCGAAATCGGTTAACGTTGTTATGAGATACAAACGGTTAAAAATGTTGAAAATCGCAGTTTTTTGCGACTTTTGACCTACAACTGTAGTACATCTAAAGATTCTTACATCTTTCGATGCCTATAACTCGTTTCTGTATTAACTAATTTCAATAAAAGTTGCAGCATGTATATAACTGACATAAATCTTCGAAATGTATTTATTAAATTTTCATTATAGTCTCAGACACAAAATGGTAAAAAACGACATTTACTATTTTCTTCGATATTTTAAAAAGTCGCAAATTTAAAAAAATTTTGTTAACACATCATTTAGTAAACTAATTCTTCTAATTTCACAAAGGAACTCAAGTCACTTGGTCCAATTTTGAAAGAGTTATTCTGTTTTAAAGGGTATACGAATACTTTTTTACCCACTATAGTTTTATGTGTAGATCTCGAAGTTTAATCTCTTGTCTTATGGTACAGCAAAAAATTATTTCAGGTACATAATTAGTTAATAGCAATAGGCACTGTATTAGATCGAATGACACAGAAATGTTAAAAAGTGTTGCAGAATAACACTATATAACTGTATTATCTAGTATTTATCCAACTCTACAGACTTTTGATTAATACTTCCAGAAGATAAATGTTTCTTAAATAATTTATTATTCTGTCCTAACTACTGGAAGGTTTCGTGTTCCTGATTAAAGTCAAAATCACTGTTTATGTTCAGATAAACACAGTATTCATCAGATAACGGTAAGGTGATTATTACAATCACTTTGTAATCATTTCATAAAGATGTGAATGCTTATGATTCATTCTAGACATTGCAGTGGATATCGCGGCGCTATTGCTGAGTCAATATTGACGTGCATTACCACAAGTAGCACGTTTCATATATCTTATGGAAAACAGTACGATTCCGTTTGCCACGAAAAAAAGCACATTTCATCGTTTTTTATGAACAGTAGTATGTTTGATCTTCCGCCGTGGAAACTAACATAATATTATACTGTTATACCACGGAGAATAGCACATTTTTAATTTTGTGGCGAAATCTATCACGTTTCGGCCTGTGATCAATTTAAATTATTGAAATGTATTTTCCATTGAAAAATTCAACCTTTGAAAATATTATTTGATAAATAATAACTCTATGCAATCATCAAACGGAAAAATATTACGTCAAGGACATAGGAAAAATATTTTCGTCACTAAAAACTGCTGCTTTTCGTACGGATCCACTGAAGCGTGTTGGCTTTCGCAGCGAAAGACGAAACATGCTCCTTTCCGTAGTCAGCCAATCCAACATGCTACTTATCGCGGCGACAAACAAGACATTATATTTTTTGTGACAACGAAGAGATGAGTGCTGCATTTTGTAAGACAAATAAACCTCCGAAAGATGGAGGTTTTTAATGTTTCTACGGAGAGCGCTGCCTAGATCCGTTTGGACTCTTATACTTCTGGCTCCGTAAACATATTTTCGATGACAATTATTTAGGAAGGCCTTTTTTATATTACCTAATATAAATCATTCGTACGGTAAATTCGATTTATAAATTGATGATTTCGATGGAGCTTTTAAAAACCCAAGTTCAAACAGACCCAGGGACCGTCTTCTTAGGGTTAATCGTGCTACTATACTATAAATTATGTGAATGAGCCGAACGTCTCACTTGTGTAACCTTTTGTCTCCCTTTCAATCATTATCCGAATCATGAAATTTCTGCGTGAGCAAAGAATGGTGAGCTTCTAATTACCTCTTGTTCTTAAGCATTTCATTCAAAGCGCTCGATATTGTCTCGTATGAAAGTCCATAGTAATCCAGCTCCAACGCTAGTCCTTTTTTCACGGAGTAGGCCACGTTCGAGTGCTGGTCTCCGAATAAGGGTATCCCAAGCATCGGAACCCCGCAATAAACCGCCTCTTGAGTTCCCAGCAGTCCACCGTGGGTGATAAACATCCTCACGTTGGGGTGACCTGTAAGTATTCGGGTAATAAGTTCATATGTCTCGAACATTTTCCATTCCGTTTTACATTCGCACAGTTTCATGAAAACAACTTATTATATTATGACTTAACCACCCAATTAGCTAAACTTTCAAAGGCAAATGTTGTCCAATGCCTGTTATAATGTTACGTACTCAACAGGGCTACAAGTTTGATGCAAGATCTGCTATCAACAACTTGCACTGAGATTGGCAGCAGATTTGCAACAAGCCTTGGAATATAGTCTAGTGTCACGTCCAGTTGTAGCCCTACTGATGAGTCTGGTTGGTGGTTCTGAGACGAAACGCGCCTCTCTTTTTCGTCCTCCAATCCATTCCTTTCCTTTCCTTTATTCTCGGACTGCTCCATACACTCTATTGCCTTTGGGCGGGAATAGGAGCAAGAACCCGAAGTAGCGTCGACGCCGGGATAACATAATACCCGGGACGTTACACTAGGATATAAATTGACCCCCGCCCCGCGGGCACGCGAGTTTATGGGGTCACGGCAACCAGGGCCGAAGGGTGGTACTGTGGGTACCACCCCTGTCGCAGTCGGTCCAAAGGAGACAGCGTCAAGTGGCGACCCTTCGAGGCTGTAGGTAGGTGGAGGCGTGGCCACAGGGGACGGGGGAGCAGTAGCCCCCCCCCTCCCCAGATAAGAGCCCCTCCCTCAATGAGGGGGGAGGGCAAGGCCGGTGCTGGTCGCGATAATGTGCTTCGGCGTTCCCGCGACCAGCCCTCACGCCCGAGAGGGTCACCGGGCGGTTTTTAGTGGGCAAAAATCCCACATAGGCCGTCTCCGCCCCCAGCGGAGACATTGCACCTTATGAAGGTTTTCCCCCGTTAAAAAAACAGAATGGTTGTAATTGACCTAGGTTAGTTAGCCTGGGTTGTGTTGCAGGACTTACTGCTAATTTTCTGTCAATTTTTGCTTTACCATTTTGTCAGCAGGCTGTGCCTGTAAAACCCAAGTCAAATGAGAAAACAGTATGCTATGATTTTTTTAGATAAATTTTGTAATTATTTGCTGGCAATTTGCTCGAAACTTGTATACAACTGGTTATCAGGGATATTACATTACGATCATTCCAAATAAAAGCTCACAAAAAGTGTAACTAAAACATTTTTTAGAATAGAGGATAAAAATAATGTTTACTGTGCAGTCTCTATTAAAACTGAATTATTAATTGAATTTGTGGAACATAGAAATGACTGTCAGGTGGGAGAGAATTCGTCAACATCATTTATGATCCTGCTATCTTATCTAAATCAATTACTTCGATTGCAAACGTTTGTATGCAGAGTGATTTGGAACTAACAACATACGAAGTGAAACTTGCAGGTAACGCCGGAACAAATTTGGACCTGCTCCAAGATTTAACCCAAACATATTCTCAGTTTCACCAACCCTTACCACCATTCACACATAATTCTCATGTCATAATTCGTTCTATAATACATATATGTTAGCGTCAATTCTTTTATGAAAGAAGAGGCACGTGGCGTCGGCTTGTTCAGAAGAGATTGTATCACCAATCGCTGGAAACTTAAACATATCATCAGTGTTTAGATTCGGTGGCGGCTCGAGTAGTGATATATTGTTGATTTCTCGCGGCCTCGGCGTCCGGGTGTTGCGTGGTGGCAAAAAGCCCGATGCTCTGTTGCCGGTAGCCACGGAGGCGCGTGGGATAAAAGATGTAAAATAAAGAATCTGACCACAGAGTAGGGAGAGTCGGTGGACTCTCTGGCAAGAGGACTGTGTCAAGAGACACGGCACTTACTCCAGAACTTCGAAAGAGAGTAGTTCTTTTAAATATCAAAGGTCTCGGATTAATATTTCTAACATATATATAGGGTGTCTGTAAATTAAGCTATTAACCTGCAAATATACAGTGGCGAACAAAAGTATTGGCACAGGAGGTATTTCTATACATAATGTTAAATAAATATGAAAAGAACGCAGTTTCTTGTTTAATCCTTTTTTCAAATATAAATCTGGAGTCCGAAGTTCAAATATATTACAAGTCATAAAAGTTAAATAGACCTGTAACAAAGAAAAAAAATAAAAACCACATCGTGCCTCGTTTTCAGCGGAACAAAAGTATTGGCACACCTACGTTTTTTTCATATAATTTATTATATTGTAAGATCTAATATTTGGTATTTACACCTTTTCTTCTAATAACTTCTTTTAATCGATTAGGCATTGAATTCACTAATTTGTTCGTTATCTTTGACCCTATTTTATGCCATTCTTCTAAAATTCTTTGTTTTAACTGTTGTTTATTCACAATATGGTGTTTTTTTAATCTTCGAGCTAATTCGTTCCAAATATGCTCGATAGGATTTAAATCCGGTGACTGTGGTGGAGTGGGTAACGTATGAGGTGTGCTGAAAACTATCCATTGTCGAACAATATAGGCGGTGTGCTTAGGGTCATGATCTTGTTGGAAGTAATAGTCGTTTCCGAGATATAATTTATTCACGCTTTTTTTAAGATTCTGTTTTAAAATGTTTAAATAAACATATTTATCCATTATAGTATCAATAAACACAAGCTCTCCTAGGCCAGAAGAGCTCATGCACCCCCATACTAGCACACCGCCACCCCCATGTTTGACCGTTTTACTGGTGTTCCTTTCATTTAATTCTGTGTTACATTGCCGCCATACTTTAACTTGCCCATCCGATTGATAAATATTAAATTTGCTTTCATCCGAAAATAAAATTTTGTCCCAAAAGTTTAAATCTTTATTTACATACATTTTTGAAAATTCTAATCTTTTTATTCTGTTCGTCTTACTAATGAGCGGTTTCTTTCTTGCGATTCTTGAATTATATCCGGCAGCTCTAAGAGTTCTACGGATAGTTATCGGATGAACTTTTACATTATTTTCATTTTCTAATTGTGCTGCTACTTCTGAAGAGGTAGTAGTAGGATTTTTCTTTATTGTGTTAATAATTTTTCTCTTCTCTCTAACGGTCAATTTTTGTGGCCGGCCACTTCTATCAGAATTTCTTAAATTTTCCGTGTTAGAAAATCGTTTAACGACACTTCTTATCGTAAAACGACTTCTATTTACTATTTTTGCAATAGCTGAGTAAGACTTTCCTTCTTTTGATAAATTCAATATTATTTTCCTTTCAGAAATTGTTGTCTCCTGCGATTTGCGACCCATTTTTGTGCGTTTTTGTTTTTACAACAATACTGGCAACAATTTATGATAAATGAACATCAAACTGAATCGTGGAACATTCGCGGGCATGACAGTCGTACAACATTCGAAATATTTATTTCAAATTTCCCTAGAAACATGAAATTTTTATGTGTGCCAATACTTTTGTTCCGCTGCAAACGAGCCATGATATGGTTCTTATTTTTTTTCTTTGTTATAGGTCTATTTAACTTTTATGACTTGTAATATATTTGAACTTCGGACTCCAGACTTATATTTGAAAAAAGGATTAAACAAGAAATTGCGTTCTTTTCATATTTATTTAACATTATGTATAGAAATACCTCCTGTGCCAATACTTTTGTTCGCCACTGTATGTACAGAAATAAGAAAATAATATTATTTAGATGTATATGTACGGCCAAAAAGTGTTAATAAAAAATTATAATAAAAATGACGAACACGAAGACAATAGCAAAGCGGGCTTGCTATTACAATAGATCGATAATTTTTATTTCATTTGTATCAATCTAAGCTGTACCTGAGCCAATATTTTGAAATTAAGCAACTTTGACATGAAATTCATAGACCACTAACACGATTATCCACGATTACCCCAACTTGTGTTAAGAGTACATAGTATTTTGAAAGAAAAACATTAGTAATAAATATTTTTCTTGGTCTCTAAATTGAAATATCTTATTTCACATTATTGTTTCTTGTGATTGACATAATGAAGCAAAGTTTAGAAAAATTGGTTGCAATTTTGTATAAAGTAAGTACTGTACACTTAAAATGTGCTTGGTTCATAAACCAATAAAATCAGTTAATATAATAAAAATAAACGATTCGCTGTATTTGTATAAGAGACATAAAAAGAGGATCAATATACGAGTCGATTGATTTGTATATTATTTAACATTCATACATACTTTAATATCCGAACATATAGCTGGACTTGCCAATTATGTATGTATATCGGGAACCATGTTAGTGCAAAAATCGATTACATGCAATGAGGAACATAAGTATTTATACAGTAAGAATGTATAAGAAAGAAATGATTTACTTTCTATGTGATAAATTACACTTTTATACCATTTTCTATATAATAAATTATACTCGAGTAGGTATATATGTACATAGACATTAGTAATAACAAATATACACATATGAAAGTTAAACATAATACTAATGTGTGTGTATAAGGTGATCCTGTCGCTGCGCAAATTCAAAGGCTGCAGTTGTTTGGTGCGACAAGGCCGTTGGTTTGCGCAGCGAGGGGATCACCCTGTATAATGTATAAATACATTTGTTCCTCGCCTTAGGTTACTGCCATGGCACATCAACATGAATAGTTTTGTTATTATTCTTTCAGAGGAAGTAAAGCATATAAGAAATTTACTTTGTAGCGTATGCAATATATGAAATACATAGTTCAAAACAGAATGAGACAAAAACATTAACGGAAGGTTAATACAGTTTAATACAGAACAATTAATAGAAAAAAATAGGTTTCTATTTCAGCAGAATATCTTCGAAATAATCCACAAATGTCTGTCTTTCAAATGTTTTTGAAAACACTTCGAATGGTTGTATAATACAGTAGACTCTAACTTTAATGTCACTGAACACATTGCCACATGAATCACTTCCCCTTCACACGTACTTTCACGCACACGCATTCGCTCTCCCACCACGTTGCGTTCGCCGGTGCATCAGCACGATCCAGCTTTTCCACAGGCGCTGAGGCCGAGGCCATGGCGATAGAATTTAGCATGGAGGGGGCTCTAAACTCATTGCCATTTTACTC